CCCTCCCACCTCTCCACCCCTCCCACCTGTCCCAGGCCTTCCCACCTGTCCCAGATCCTCCCCTCCTATGCACCCCATGCCTCCTGCCAGGGCACCCTTCACAGCAGCCCTAGATGCCCTCACTCCACTCCCTCTTGGATGCCAAATCCCCAAGGTACCAATGTCCTTCCAGCCTGGCTTTCTCCTGCCCGGTTTTGACTGGCCTGACTGTCAAGGTCATGAGGTCAGGGCTGAGAGGTGGTATGTTTGGGCTCACTATTGTCCCAGGGTTGGCGTTCAGCAGCAATAAACAAAGATCTGTAGAGAGAACAAATGATTGGGAGGCCTGGTTCGATATGACCTTGTCGGGAAATAGCAATGTTTCAGTAAGACTGCGCTCACTTCATAATGAGCACGAGCCTACTTAAAATAAGCAACGGGGAGAAGCGAGCCCTACAAGGAAGAGGCTGCTTACAGCAATGTTTCCCAACTTTGCTGAAATCTCTCGTTCCTTCCCGCATCCTAGAGATCAGAGCTCCTGGATGCTGGCTTGGAAACCCTACTCAGAAGCATGTCTCTGTTTAAGCCGTCTGCATAGAGAAACCGACGTCTCGAAGAACACTGTGAAAGCTTGGGAGTGAGATCCCAGCTGCCACCAGGTGCACTCCTACCCCGCCCTCAGCAATCTGCACAGGATGAACTCCAGGAGTAACGGGGCGTGGTGGGTGTGGACAAAAGTCTCAAGCCTCCCCACAGCTCAACAAGGTCACAGTTCTTTAGTGGGAGGAAGAACAGCACACTCTGTCTTCACTATTCCCATCAAGGTGGCTTACGCCATCCTTTTATCTCTCGAAAAGCCTAGTAGGTGGAGTTAGACATGATTTCCGAGCTTAAAAGAATACATGTGTGTGTGTTTCATGCATGGAACTACCCAGGAACGCATGAGAGGGGAGGAAGAGATCTTGAGGGAGGTGAGCATCTGCCCCCAGGAGAGCAGAAGTCGGGATTAATTGGAGGAAGAAAGGGAACCAGCTGGAGGTGGGGAAGGGGAATGTGGGGCGGCGGTCTGGGATGAGAACACACTATAGACACGTATGTGAAGCTCCCATGATGATACCCTGTGCTTTGCATAGTAACCTCAGATGCTGACTTAACATAAGAAAGATTAGAACTGAGCATGGTGGCTCACGCCTGCAATCCCAATACTAGGAAGGCTGAGGCAAAATGATCATGAGTTTGAGGTCAACGTGGGCTACAGGGGAGGAGGGGACAGAGGAAAGCAAGGCCTGCAGGGCTCACACAGCTTACTCAGGTGACCCGGCCCTAGAAATATATAATGCCATGAGTGCTGCGACCCTCTCTCTGGATGAGCCTGTCCCTGTGTGTGACAAGGACACTATTTCAAACTAAAACAATCCTGAAGGAAGCTGCTTGCCACCCAGCCTTGAGACTGGGGAGACCCCCTCCCATTAACAGCTCAGCTCCGGTGGCTGGGAGAGCCTGGGGCATCCACAGCAGAGGCTGCTGACAGCCAGCCCACAGCAGAGTGAGTCTGGCGGACTTTATTCTACCCCACGGGGGTGACTGGGGTTCAGTTGTGTGCATTTAAGAATCAAAATCTTTTACCTGAAAACCTGGAGCTGGCTTCTTTGAAAGCCCAGAGGCCTGGCCATCGTGCATCTGCACGCTCTTCCCGACCTACACACCCATCAATGTGCATCCCAGACCCCGCAGCCTGGATCACCTACTTGAGCACCTGCTGGGCCCAGCTGGCATTAGAGTTCGGTCTTCTGTTTTGTAGACTATACACACTTTGTTCCCGGGAACACCAGAGACAGAAGAGGATCAGACAGACAGCAGAGGAATTGCTAAAGAAAGCCTGAGAACACAACAGAAAAGGTATCTTGTGGAGTCTGGGGCAACGCTTTACCACCAAAAATAAAAAGCAAGTTCCTGCAACAGAGAGAAACTAGAGACATAAATTCCCTCTAACCAGCAGCCAAATGTTTTAATATTTATGCCTAGACTTTCCCAGGCAATTTTAATTCACATTTACGGTTTTCCTATGGAAAATGAAAAGGAAGACTGGGGTGCTGAATGTGAAAAAAAATATTCAAAATACCATCATTTAAATGGAACTGACTCCCTTTCAAAACAGTCTGTCCAGAGGAGCCCCTGCCTCAGAGTGCTTTGTCAGTTCTGGGCTTTTCTGGCAGCCACTGAAAGTCATAAAAAGCACCTGCCGTCTTCACTCAGCTCCGCATCCATTTTCTCTGGGGTCGGAATCTAACGTGCCTCTTTGCAGGAGCAGCAGAGCTGGGGGCGACAAGGAGGAACGGCTCCAGCCGGTGACAGGTGAACTTGTTACATTGTACTTCAAAGCTACGCACTGTTACAAAGAGGAGCTATGCCACCGGGGGCTACAGCAGGCAAAGCCCACACTCTCCAGCCAGGCCGGCAGCAGGGGGTAGGCAGCCTACAGAAATAGCCTAGCACAGTTTTTAAAGTCCTTCAGAGTTCAGCTGCTCAAGTTGGCTCTTTGTCCTGTTGGCTGCGGGGTTGACTGCCTAGGCTTTGTATGGAATCGGGATTAGTTTCTCACCAGAATGAGCTCTCAAATGAGTCCACATTCTGGACAGGGGGTTACCAAACTCCCCTCTGCCCTAGATAGCCTCCAGCATTCATTCAGCATGCCTGCCTCCGCTCTTTCTCAATGGTCAGAGTTCTTGGTCTTCTCTATGGGTGAGATTGCTTACCCTTTTACATAATAATGATCCCTGTGGCCAAGCAGGCTAGACAAGCTGGTCTCTCAGGACAGACACAGAAGGTCCAGTTTCTCTCTGTAAGCACCTAAGTGGTCAGTGCTCACTGGGAACAAACATTCTGGAGCGGCAGGGGACCTGTTAGGCTTGGGAGTCTCAAATGTGGTGAAGGAACTGTACACAGCAGGCCTACAGGAGTGGAAGGATGGAAATCAGCTTCCCAGCTGCAAGGATGTTAGACCAGAGAGGGTTAGGCCAGAACCCTCCCAAGCCTAGGCATGTCTGAAACCTAGCATCTGGTACTTACGGGAGGATGGTCAGGGAGACAAGACCCAAGGATGACTGGACGTGGGTCCCAGTAGGATGAGGATGAACATGGGAAATGAGACAGTTGCACCTCGGGATTTGTGACCTGAGCCTCCCAACAGCCTCAAATCTAGCTGACAGAAAGACAAAGAGGGCACAGAAATGAGGTAGGGTTTCTCAGCTCCCCCACAGAGGAGGAAGCCTTGAGAACATACAGGAGGCTGTGTGGTACAAACAGGCAAGTAGAGAATGGGATGTGTCCTGAGTTCTAGAGCCAGGACATCAGCGGCCACCGGATGGAACTCACATATTAATATCAATTGGTAATTGGACCGCTACTCAAAGGCTCCAGAACAAACCACTCCAGTTAACTGAGAGCCACCAAAGAAGCAGGGTACCTTCCAAGAAGAAAGTATCAGCCGCGGGGAAAAAATGCTGTGATTGCTTCTAGTCCACAAACACTGCCGTACAAAACCAGTAAGGAACGTGTCTGAACGAAGAACTAGCAAGTAGTGAGCCCGCCCATCACTGTGGCCCACATGCGCCAATCACTCATTAAAGAAATGTTTTTCCGAGCCAGAATTCTCTCAGCATCCCCTTCAGGTCCCAGCATTTACGTGTGATATCAGCTAAAAGGAAATTTTCTCCCGGAGGATTAGCCACATCTGCTCTGCTATTTTCGCATCAAGGGGAACAGGAAACCCGAACGGTGCCTTGATTTAGAGAAAGATTCCGGAGGCTTCTCTTTCCTGGGCTTGAGTCATTGAAGTGATGCTGAGCTTCCGGATAAAAACACCAAGCAGGTAGAAAGATATGGAGGAGATGCTGCCGAGAGCTATGAACTAGCTCCTGTGGCTGTACCCTGTGAAGACCCGTCACAGACAGAGCATCCAAGAGGAAAGCTGAGGGCAGAGGCCAAGGTGCATGGTCAGCTCTGGCGTGGTCCTTCCGTGTGCCCCTCATTGCCTGATTTATGTCGCCTCTCACGTGACCCTCACTGCAGCAGCAACCTCTCTACCTGCTGCGGACCTCCTATGCTACAAGGGAGAGATGAGTCACTCTGCAATGCATTGCTTCTCCCTACTGAAAACGCTTTAAACTCGCCCCCAGTGTCGGAGGTCAGAGCCTGGGTGTGTTTCACCGCCCTGTGTGCCCGCCATCTCTCCAGCACCTCCCTGAACTAGGTCCTGTGAGCTAACATTTCTCAGAAACATCCATGTTCCTGTAAACATTGGCCCTTAACACAGGAAGCATACCCTCGTGTCTTCAAATCCCTTTTCCCTTTTCTTCTACTGGGCCCACGCTGTAGGGTAAAAGGGTCAATCAAAGAAACACACACTGACCCTGAAACCAGAGCCAACTCACTGGCCCTGAAACCAGAGCCAACTCACTGGCCCTGAAACCAGAGCCAATTCACTAACACACTCTGCCCCTGACCAACTCAGCAAGAAAACCATCCAATCCCTGAGCATGAAAACTGGCCAATCTCTGAGCTTATCGAAGCTCAAGGATTGAAATTTGACCAATTCCCGCCCTGAAAATCTTCACACTGGAAACCTTCCATCCCCTAAGAAATCCTACATAAGCCCTGCATCTGCTGGGTTGGGAGCTGCCTTTTCCACCATGGCAGAGGCAGTCTGGTCACTCTCCTGGATTCCTCCCTCTCAATAAATCTCTTGAATCATGTTTACATAAAGACAATCTTTCACCAGAGTGGAGCAGGGCAGGGAAGTAACAACCTTTGCAGGAGCAAACTGCTGCCTTTCTTGCAGGGAACCCCTTAGGAGATGGAGCAGGGCTGAGCAGTAACCCCTCTCTCAGGGAGGAGCAGGGTTGCTACGTTCCTGTGGGGAACCCATGCCGCACCAGAACAGATATGGCCGGGGTACCTTTCCCTCCAGAGCTGTAACACTCACACATGCCCCACATTCGCTTCCTGCTCAGAGTCTGCTTTAATTGGTCAGTGTAGACCAGGGCTCCCCGGAGATTCTCCAGAACAAAGAAGACCAAACATGTTCCTAATGTTGGACTCTAGCGTCCAAACACCGAGAAGGAATCACCCCTAGAGACCCCCTCATACACCATAGCCGATGCAAAAGCATGAGGATTTTATTAATTCTGTCGTGACAGGGTCCCTCAGCATTCAGGAGAGACCTCGAATAGCTGGTACAGTCTGCTTTTAAAGGAGAAGGCCAAACAAGGGGGGTTGTTCTTTGACCATTATGATTGGCTTATTTGAAAAGGGCTAATACCAATAATTGGCTAGAGAGCTATTGTCAGATCAGATGAGGTAAGAGGTCATTTTGACCCTGTTTCCCAGGGGACTGAATCAAAACATATGTGTATTGGGTAATTGTTCAAGAACTGAGTCAACATCTTAAAGGTTATCTTGCCCCAATTTCTGGAGAACATACATGAATGTGTACCTGTTAGGTCCTTGGTTCCCAGGGGAGGAGGGGAAGCACTAAGGCATGGAGGCTGAGAGGGTTCAGAATTGTCAGAAATGTCTTCATAATTGTCTTAAAGTCTTACACTACTCAACCTCAGAATTAACCTGCCACATCCCCTTAGAAAAGCCAAAACTTGTCCTAACCCCAGGACCCAGGAGAATCTCCCGAGTCCCTGACCCTGGTCCAGCCTCTCTATCACCTGCCACATTTTGTTACACTAGTTTGTATTCGTCTGCCTTCCCTCTAGGGGAAGAAGGCAGGGATGGATCAGCTCTAGAAAACTGCTCTGCTTGGCACCAAAAGTGTTCGTTGTTGGCCAAATGGAACCACAAAGCCAGCCCTGTTATTACCTGATTTTACTGATTAAAGAAAGTGACAGAGGGTGAGAGAAATCAGCCAGCATCACCCATGGGATTCGATCTGCCTCATTCTCCAGTCAGAGCCCCCAGCTCCAGGACAGAGCTTTTCTCTGACAAAGACAGCCCAGAGAGCTCTGATGTATACACAGCCTGTATCTACCCCTTCCTATGGATGAAGATCCAAAGACACGATGTGTGGAGCAGGTCCTATACCCGGAGCTTCTTCCCAGCCTTGCCCTGCTTAGCTCTGATACTCCTAATGCTTGCTGGACACACCCAGGTAGATATTCTCCCGAAAACCAAGACTTACCCCAAACAAGTGTTTTCTTTCTCTCTCTTTTCCTCTCTCCCTCTCTCTCTCCAAATATTTTGTAGCAAGAATAGCAAAAACCAAGAGACAGATATTGGGGTTCAAGCTGATTATCAGAAAAACAAAACAACCAAGCCACTAGAGAAGTCTTATTCCAACCAAGACTGGGCAACTGTAGACTGAGCCCTGTCTCCTCCAATCTTATATTCCCCTCTAGTGCTGGGATTAAAGGCTGTGACTCCCTAGTACTGGGATTGAAGGTGTGAACCACCTCCACCTGGATCTGTTTCTGCATTGATCTTCTGTAGCCCAAGGTGGCCTTGAATTTACAGAGATCCATCTGTCTCTGTCTCCCAAATCCTGGGATTAAGGGTGTGAGACATCACTGCCTGACCTCTAGTGGCTTAGTTTTACCCTCTGATTCTCAGGCAAGCTTTATTTATTAAAGTATAAATAAAATACCACTATAACATTCCTCATCTACTTCTAGTCTTCTGATAATTATCTTATTTTGAAATCTTGTATTCTAACCCCAGCATTGCTGACCCAGACCCTCCTCCTCCTCACTCCCCTGTACCATGTCACCTTTGTGGCACCTGGGCCCCTCTGCTGTTCATCAGTCTCCTGGCCACGGTTAGCTTGCTCCCCAGTTCACCACTGTTCTCCCTTGACCTACAGGAGTGGACATCAGTACATCTTCCTGCTCCCAGGCTTCTCCTGTCTGTCAATATCCACAAACAGAATATCTAATGTATCTTCCAAAGGGCAACTCTGGCCAGGCCTTTTCCTCATTCACAATCTTCCAGTATGAATGAGCCCAGTTCTTCATATGAGCCCACTGCTAGCTAAAATCCAAGCGTCAAAACCCACTGCTGAACTGATTTTAAGGGACCTTTCCAACCACATTCCGTCATGGCTCTGCTACAGGTGATGTGCCTCCAGCCAGTAGGTCTTCCGGGCACACAGTAGGCCTTCTCCTCCCACACTGATCCAAGCATTACCGTTACTCGACTGCAGGCAAAAGGCTCAGCAGGAAATAATATTACCAGGAGAACTGTTGGACCCCGCCTTCCAGTGGATATCCACACCCGATTCAGGCGCGCGCCTTCCCGAACTCGGGCCCATGAGAATGGACGATTGTCCTGAGGGTTAAAAACAGACACACATAAAAAGAGACCTTTGCTCATTTACCAAGAGTAAATGGCAACTTTATTAAACTCAAGTCAGGTATTTATACCAGTGGGCAACCGGGATCAAAAAGGCAAGGCCTCCTCCCAACAGAAGCAGGAAGAAGAATAAAGGCCCCAGTAAAGGAAAACTCCTCCCACCCAGAGGGGGCTGGGGAAACTGGCTTCTGTGGGAGTTTTTCCCCAGGCAGGTGGTCGAGAGTTCAAGACAATGTCAGACAGGTTAGATGGGCCTTGGCGCCTGAGCTTCTTTGAGGTAGGTTGAAAAATTACCATTTTAAAATAAAATAGATCCCTCAAGCTAATATACCAGGCTGTAACAGAACCAAGGACAAAACTAACAGAAAGCTTAGCTGGTTAGCATAAACATTATTTACATCCAATATTTTGGTCTCAAGGATCATGGAGGACAGGGTCCCACAGAGAACCACCCCCACATGGTACACATCACAGGCATTGACAAACCATCCTGGGGGTTAGACTGAGTTCACTCATGAGGAACCTAGAACCCCAGTCAGACTGACTGTGAAAATGGGTGGTGAAGGATTCTGGTGGAATCCGAAGAACTGGGGGATGAAGTAGAACAAAGCTGTAGGAATCGGCAGGCTAGAATTCTGGGTCCCGAGAGCTCTAGGAGCAGAACTGACCCCTGACCAGCCCTTGGCGAAACCTCACTGCATGGGAGCTGCCTGCTGCTCTCCGAAGTCTTCAGGGAAACAGCTTCCCATGGGCCAGCTCTCTTTCTAAGCAAGAGAAGTCGGGCCCTTCCCTCCACCACAAGTAAGGGTCAGGCACTTCAAGTGCTTCAGATGGATCACCCCTGTCTGTGTCCGCCCCCCTCCACCCATGGCTGGCTCTAGTCTTTAGCCTGATCCTCCCCTGCCTAGCTTGACTTGACTGGGGTTCCGACGCTGGCACTCCAAACGCCTAATTGGGAATAATTGCAGCTCTTAATTACAGTTCACCCATTACACACCACTACCACATCTGCTTTGAGTTTTATTTTATTAAAGCAGTGTTTTCGAGAGCCTTTTTTTTTTTAAGGAGAAAACCCGATTGGATAATCACTTGTAATTTACAGGTAAGTACGACTACAGTGTGGTTGTTTATGAACAAGATGTTCCATCAATCCACTTAGTCATGAACATGCAAATGTCTTTAGAGGACCTGAGGCTTCAGGGTTCCTGCACTGAGCTCAGAATTTTTCCCCAGTAACTAAATCCTGTCACCAAATCTGTGGTCACCTGGTAAAAATGGTGACAGCAAAACTCGGTGACGCCAGACCGGGTCTAAAGCGCAGGACTCCCGAAGACCATAAGAATAATCCTGAAGCCAGGAAGGACAGCCCCACCCCACCCTTGCTCAGACAACACCTCCTACCTTACAGTGCATCTATTGACAGCCCAGGCTCGCTTAATTCGGTGACTCTGAAGCTTTTGGTCGTACGTAACTCTTCCCCAGAACAAATCACATGGATCAAACATACACGAGATTTCTCACATGCATGATTTCAAACAGTTCACAAATTCAATAAATCCATCTGTGAACTCCTTAGGATTTGTGGTTCACAGGGTTTTCAGTGTTTATTTATTTGTTTTTACTAAATAACTAAAGCATGGAGCACTTGCAAAGTCTCCATACTGCGAAACTGCCAAGAGAGATTCTGTGCTACTCGGTTTGGGTCTACCGACCGATGTCTGCAGCTGCGAGGCGCTGGGCTGAACTCCAGAGGAGAGGAGGTGACGGCAGCTCACACTGTCCCTTAACGAGTTTAAAGCTGGAGTTTACTAATTGATGAGGGAAAATTTCAGGCTGTTGGTGGGCGGCCCTCCTCACCTAGCAATTGTTTAATCTTGGTGAGCTTTGCTACACTTAGGTGTAATTCCCTGCTTTTACAATACCTGACTACGAGAGTACAGAGAAAGAAATCAGGCTCGCTACTGTGGGGGACGTGCGCCATGTGTGCAGTTTAGAGGGAAAATGTGTGACTTATTTGGTGAGCCAAAAGCACATGTTCCAGGTCCTGACATGGACTTAGGCCAATCATGTCTATGTTCAGTTTTCAAAAAGAACTACAACATAAACACTTTCTTATGTTTATGTGTGACCATTAGCTAGATATAACTAATTGATAACGTATTTATCACCTCTCCCTCTGGAAAATCTACTTAAATACTAGTAAGGATTTTTATGTTTTCAAACAGTGAGAAAGGGATGCTTCCACAGCTGTTAGGAAGAGACACGGGTAAGGACAGGTAACATCCACATCCAAGCAGGGGAGGCCGCCATCCCTACACCCTCAAGATGGAGACAGCTACAGTTTAAACAAGCCAACCCCTTTCTTTTGGTCTCCCACTTACACAGAATCCCAGGCAGGCCCGTGTCTTAGGGCTTTCAGTGCATTGAAAGGCAAACGGGAGGGAACTTGAGACCGGAATAACTGGAAACGGGGGCTTACAGAAAGCTGTCACGCAGAAATGTTGTGCCCAAGCTTCTCTCCCCAGCCCACACGCCAGGTGACTCACTCCACCCACTTATTTCCAAGGATACCAAAGGTTTGTTCTCCGAACATGTATGTGAGACTAGAGAGACCGGAACTGAAAT